GGGATTCTGCAGACTGTTGAGGGTTCAGCCTCCTGATGAGTCGGTGAAACTCCGGCGAAACAGTTTGTCACAGCCCCTCGTTTGTTGTCCTCTTCTCCCTCTCTGCCTACGGTTTACCGGGCAGTTCTATTTGACGATATATAGTCAAACAGGGCTGCCCGGTAAATATATATTGTCACATCACTACAAACTAAAAGAGCGCACTTTGCGGAACAAAGAATAAAAGCAAAAAACGGGCACAGTGATAACATGCAAAAATAAAAACAAAAAGAAAAAACAAGGGCAGATTGAAACCATTAACTTTCTCATTCTTCTTTGAACTCCACCTCCATATATATTTGGCCCGGCCGGGCAAGTGGTCCCGGCCACTCTGGTAGACTAGGTTGATAACCTTTTTTTGTTTTTCCCAAAGGGTAACGACCTTGAGATATCATCATTTCAACTGACTGCCAATAGAAAATGACCGAGCGACAGAAATGTAAATGTGGTTGATAACCTTTCTTTTTCCCCCCCAAAGGGTAATGAGTACTAACGACCTTGAGATATCATCAGTTGAAGTACTAACGACCTTGAGATATCATCATTTGAACTGACTGGCCCTACGTAATTCAGAATTGCAGTATTTTACTCGTCTGCTTCCAATGGAGTTGGAACTCAGGTCTGTGTTTCACTATTTCAGGGGTGTACCAACTGAGGGGGAGAGCAGGTTAACAGAGACCCTATTTTTCAGACCCCTTGGCATGCCATTTTTGGACCCCTTACCCAGGGCCTGAAACTGGGGGTCCCCGTTAACCACTTGTAGGTCAATCACGTTGCAAATTGAGCAAAGTTGGGGTCCTGTCTGACCATGTGGAGAAAGTGCAGAGAGAACAGTGGAAATGGAACAAGACATACCAAGGGCGACGTCGACGGAGTGAAGAAGTAGGGGATGTAGTGGTCAAGCCATGGGATTTCAAGTACAGTCTCGTAGATGATACGCATGACATTGAATGAGAGCATACTGGAGAGAGGTCGGGACAGTCATCCTGATCCTAGAGATTGTGCAATAGATCATCATGGCTGTGTTCTCATCTCCTAATCGGACTGCCATGGAAGAAATCAACGTCATGAACGCAAGCCGTCCATGGATACGAGGTTCACATAATTCCTACATTCAGCAAGCCCCAGAACTTAATGATGAATGCGACCTGAAGAAACTCAGATGAAACTACCATCTTCACCCGAATAGAACGCCTGGTTGTTATAGCTGTATCTTGACTGAGAATTGCACCAAATACGGGTATTGCAAGGAAGATGAGCAATAGCGAACTTCAGCAATCAAACAGCATCATATACACAAGACCAGATAGTCGTGAACTCGAACCAACAGCCGAATTGCATCACGAGTTTCACCAAATAAAAAGACACCAAGAGCTCATAATTGACAATGCTGGTAAAGTCTCATCATCATCATCAATGAAGAACCAATGTTGATATCCTATCTAGCACTCGGCCCCCAGACTACAGATGGCAGATCCTATCTAGCCTAGACTACAATGCCGAATGATGACGTCAACAGCTTTCCCGAAGTACGAGCATACAGCGACCAATGTTGCACGCTTCCAGCACCAGGTATGTCTCTCGCCTCACTCACAACCTCGTTCCCCAACACACAGATGCCACTTGCACCCAAGGACCACCCTGCGAAACACACCTAGCTTACAGCAGCGCAGCTCGGCTATGGCTGCCTGCTCTTTCCTGCTCGCCCGTGAGCGCCACAAATGGTTAACGGGGACCTCCATTTTCAGCTCCTGACTAATGGGTCCAAAACTGAAATTAGGGTTTGGGGGTCAAATTTTTGTTTTTTTGTTTTTTTTGTTTTTTTGTTTTTTTTGTTTTTTTGCCTGTTTTTGTTTTGGTTTAAGGTTTCTGTCTGCCAAATTTGGTATTATTTGGGTTATTAGAATTTGTGCTGTTGGGAGGCCTGAAAATCCTGAATAGCTGCATTTGGCCCAACTTTCAGTCCAGATGCCGCGATAATGACGGGGCGTTCTTATTCGGGTGAAGACGGTAGGATGAGACATCCATGGAAGAGGAGATCATGTTCTTGTGCTGGTGTATTTCTTCGCTAGTTTGACTAACTGGCTAAGTCAGGCAGGGTCATCCGGAAGACCGAAATATGTGATAACATCAGGGTCGGGCTCGAGGATGGTGGAGCAGGAGGCAGTCGATGTGTCGACCTACACGGAAGGGTTCGCCATCAGCCCAACAGACGGCAGACAAGTAGTCAATGCTAAGGGACCCAATAACAACAGTACACTCGACACCAAAGGTGTATCCAGGAGACTTTTAGGTCAAAGTCGGCGAGCCAAGGGACTCGCTGATGGCAGTATACATTGGTAAAGTGGAGGCTGAAACGGTATTCACCTGTTCGCAGTAGCCGATGCAGATCCCAGGGCTCGATCCCTAGTCCTCACCTTACCTGTGTACAGTATCTGTGTCGACCCTGAGAGTTGAACCCGTGACCTGTGTATTTGTAACAGTTGGTAGACTGTCGTAGGKTCCGTAGGTAGTASGGGTTCGATCTGTAGACCTGTCGGGTAGGAGTCTTAGCAAGGTCTWGAAGTCRTAGYTGTAGCTCCTCCGAAAGGTCAAGGTCGTAGCTGCTACAGTCCTGAAGGGTCAAGGTCGTAGCTGCTACAGTATCGAAAGGCCAAGTCCACGGCCTTCCGGAAGGTCCTAGTAGTGGCCTTTTGAAGCTGCTCACGTTTAGGCTGAGGCAAGTGGGCAAGTGGGGGAGTCCACCCGTGCTGAGTCAGCAGTCCCAGTCCCAGTCAGTCCTAGTTCAGTCAAGCAAGTACCGCATGGGACTGTGTGCACCACGGGCATGGGAAAGGGGCAGACCAACGAGATACAGAAGTATAAATCAAGAGGCAGCGCCCAGCTATTCATTCATTCCTGCGTAAGCCATGCGGAAGCGCTGCCACAGCGACTTGTGCGAGGTGGTCTGCAGTGAGCCCGAAGACAAAGTGGGCGAGAGAAGGAGCTTAGCCATAGCGATAGGGTAGCGGCGCCCATAGCCGCCATAGCTGATAGGAGAGTGTAGCGTGTATGTGTGTGTGTGTGTGTACCGTGTGATGCGTGTGGGATATCCAGGGTGATCCTGTGTGTGTGTGAACAGAGAGTTGTACAGGCGCCGTGCCGCCATATCCATTTGAAGTGAACTTGTATCTGAACTGCGTTCTTGGTTACTATATCTCTGAGTTCTGAGTGGGCGCTTGTCACCAGTTTGCTGCGCAACCTGTTTACATGCATACAAAGTGTGAAAGATAGCGAGTCTGATTGCAAGGCAAGGGCAGCTGAATAAATTGTTTGGATGTAGTTGCAAGCCGCGGCCAGCCCCACCTTGGGCTATGGGAGAACCACCCACCCCGTGTTTGGGAGAAATGGTTTGTTCGTGCCCAAGCTTGTCAACAGCTGCAGAATCCACTCTGTGTGCAGACACACTCCCTCGACATTGGCTAGCTTGGTCAATCGGCCAGGTTGAGATGGTGGGCTAGACTGCTGTGGTTGATTTTGTTTTCCTCACGACAGTGGCTAGCTTGGTCAATCGGCCAGGTTGAGATGGTGGGCTAGACTGTTGTGGTTGATTTTGTTTTCCTCAAATATAAGTTCGGGAACCATTGTCTTGCGTGTAACACCGTCCTCGAGCGCTGTACCATCATTGGAGTGAGTGGACAGAGAAGACAGAGTCTTCCGGAACAATTTTGATTGGGAATGCGACAATCGACTCCCTTGCGGTGCAAGTTACTAATCATCATGTCCAACAGTATGGGGTAAGGAGAGTAGATCCATCAGTGGTTCGGACTTTATCGGGGTGACTGCAACCTCCAAGGTGCCCAGGGAACAGTCTAATGGATAAGCTGGTTCTAGGTATGTCCAGAATAAGTCTGCACCCAGGTGCCGACCAAAAACATCTAACGGGCAAGAACATAAATGTGCTGATACTGTGGAAATTCAAGTGGTATGAAGCATGAGGTTCAGGGATCAAGCCCTGCTCACTGCTCAGGTTCGTGACGCTATCTGAAATAACAACGTAGAAGACATCATGCTGCAGCCTGGTGGAACTTACGACCATGTGGGGTTTCTGAAATGGTAATATACAAGGATAGGACTTTGTAAACTTTCAAAAAACGAACTACAACAGTTGAAGACAACTAAAACACCACTATTCCCACGACGTTCTGTGGTGGGCTTGGTGTTTAACAGCTGAGATAGTCGGCTTCGCCCCCCTGGCTGGTCGTGGCAGGAGTCAGGAATCCTGCCATCCCTCGCCAGGGGTTCTAGAGAGAGAACCATACATGTGGCTGCAATGAGACTTGAGGGACAACAGAAATGGCTTTGAGGTAGTGGGGAGCTTGCAGGCATGGGCTTGAGGAGAGCCATATGTATGGGAATGGGATCGAAGCTTGATGCTCTTCAAGAAAAGAGTTTGACGCTTGTGATTACAATAGACATTGTCCACTACTATTTTGGGATAATATTATGCTTACACATAAGGATTCTCTCTCTCCCATTTCTCCTCTTTCTCGACTCACTGGCTCAGCTTCATCACTCTCACGCTCTTCCCGATTAACCACCACATATACCAATAATACATTACAGCAATATCGCCATGCCACCCAGCCTACCTATACCTGTGAGGTGTTGGGTGGTCGTGTCAGAGGTTTTGCCTCCAGATGACACAAAATCTGGGCAAAGTGGAAAACCAGATTGCTGAGCCGAAAGGTCTCTACCAAATCCCAGTGACTTACCAGAAGAGTTGCACCCATACCCTTGTACAATCCGCGCATGCCCTCTTCCCTTACTATCGTCTTCAAGGTGTGGGAAATGCCCCTGTAGTACATGACTTTTGTCTGCACAACAACAAAAAGCCAGGACAATGTTGAAAGTGAGAGAGTGAAAGATCTCAGTACAACTTCTACACCCTGTCACCTCTAGCTACATAGACCCCACTCATTTGTAGACTCCTTTCACTGACAATATCATTCTAAAAAAAAGCACCAATTCTCTCTGCCACCTGCCACTGGACTATTCCAAACCTTGACACACCGGAATGAAGCAGATACATCAAGCCAGCCTGACAGTTTGAGGGAGAAAAACAATAACCTTGCGCATCATGGGAGATGGTGAATGGAACTTTTGACTTTCGAAGACTTCGATACAACTCGCATGCAACTGGATCTCAAATAAACCATGACTTCATTCCTCATGCCTTTTCACCTCCTTCATCAGTCTTATAAGTTTCAAGCATTTTTCACTCAAACAGGTCCTTATGGGCCTTCCCTCCATACCCAACACGCCCTCCACCTCAGTTGCTCTGAAAACACGTTCATTATCCAATGAACTGAGAATGGACATTAACCAATGAACAGGCTTCTCTCTACAGACTTCGACTTTTAGACAGCCTTCAAAGTTCAAACCCATATCAAATCTCAGACTATTATACAAGTGAAAACCGTGCATCCATCCCCATGCATCCATCCCCGTCCATCCATCCCCGTGCATCCATCCCGATGCATCCACCCTGTCCCATCCACCCTCACCCCTTACATCCACATCCCATCCCGTTCCCTCGTTGCCCCCACCTCCTCCCCTCCACCACCCATCCGCATCCCCATCCCCATCCTCATCCCCATGTCTATCCACTTCCCGTTCATCCCACCCCTATCTATCCCATCATATCATCGCAGTTCATCCCCACCCAACGCCCACCCGTCGCATCCAATCACTTCCGAGCCTTATTCCCATCCCCATCCCAGTCCCCTTCTTGTCTGTCCCATCCCATCCCATCCCATTCCATCTCTTCTCATCCCATTCCATGCAAGACCATCCCCTTGCCACCCCTCCTTGTCCCTTCCCTGTTCCCACCCATCTCGCCCCTGTCTCATCTCCGCTCCTTCCCTGTTGCATCCCATTCAATCTGGTCCCTGTCCCATTCCATCTATCCCCATCCAATTGGTACCAATCTGATCTACCCTCATGCATCCGTCCCTGTCCCATCCATCCCCATCCGATCGTCCACGTGCCACCTGTCCACATGCCATCTGTACCCATGCCATCTGTACCCATGCCATCCACCCCCGTGCCATTTGTCCCCATGCCATCCACCCCCGTGCCATCTGTCCCCATGCCATCCTCCCCCATGCCATCCACCCCCGTGCACCCATCCATGTCCCATCCGTTCCCATCCCTGTTCCCTGTGTCCCCACCTCATCCCCTCCACGTCCCCTTCTCATCTCCTTTCCGTCCCATACTGATCTCTCCCCAGCATTATCTCGCTGGGACGATATCAAACATGTCATTTGGCGATTTCATAAAAAACGAAGTTATGATCCACACATCCAGAGAGGTATGCGGACTGTTCATATATATCTGACAAGACACATGGAGGCAGCAGCTGAACGCGGGAATCTGTCAGAATGAATGAATGAAAAAAAAACAACCGAACGAAAAAACAACCGAACGAAAAAACAACCGAACGAAAAAACAACCGAACGAACCCCAGACCTGGGCCTAGGCCAAAGTGAAAATACCGGCCTAGGTCCAGGTACTGGAAAATCCAATGGTACCGGACCAGGATCAGGCCGACGGGCTGAAACTGGACAGGCCTAGCTGGCGGGCCTCAGGGGGACCACTACAACTCCTGTTTGAATTCCCTGTCTACTCCACTCCAGAGCTTCCACTTTTCAGAGAATGACGGGATAACGATGTTTCGCAGTGGTGCAATACAAGCAAGTTTTCAGCAAGGGTCATTTTGAAAAACAAAGATAAACACATCATTTTCCGCAAGCCTTGTTCCCGATCAAAATCCAGACATGTGGATAGTAATCTGCACACTTGCTCAGGTCTCTCCTGGATGGGTAGCCATGGCGAAATCACACTATTCTGTTAGGTTGCCAGCTGGGAAGCCAGATATCGCGCAGAAAAAATCACATTCTGACGCTGTGCACTGACCTGCGCTGCCAGACGTGTTCTGACAAGATCCAATGGGTAGGTGACTGATGCCGCAGTGATTCCAGCAGCCCCTCCTGCCAACAGCCTCAAGCCCATCCCGACACCAAGAGTGTGGTCCCCACCTTCCTTCCCCAAGGACTTCACCAAGAACTGTCACATGTCACACGACCAGCAATCATGCATGAGCACCATCACTCATTGTTAGAAAAGTGCACGTGGGAAGGAATCATCACACTAAGGCCATGTCACAAACCTCTGCCTAGTCCTGTCTATCATACTTGTCATGCACTTGTGCGGTGAGGTGTGCAGCGTGCCAAAAGGTGGTAAGGCACACAAAAAATCTTTAATCAATCAAGTTGAATCAGCAGAATTGAACAAGTGTTAAAAATTTCAAGGGTCAACGGCTTTTGAGTCACAAAAGAAGTTTTGAATAGCATGGCAAAACCAACTCGCCCTCAGCAGTCCAGTGCCAGCCTGGGTTTCAACGGCCATCTCTCTATCTTTTTTTTCTTTTCTTTTTTTTTGAGAAACAATAGTTCAGCCAACTTTCTCTCTGCGGTATGAATCTGTTCGCGTTGTTGCTCTCAGTTCAGTACAACTGAATATAACGCAAAAAAAAAAAACGTTCGAATCCAGCATTTCTACGGTTTTCTACCTACCACATTCGTCCCTGAATGCCCATCCCCTCCCAAAGCCCCTGATGCCTCTCTCTCTCTCTCTCTCTCTCTCTCTCTCTCTCTCTCTCTCTCTCTCTCTCTCTCCCCGCACGCGTGTGCTCAATGTGTGTGTGTGTGACTCTCGCAGCTTTGCAGCAGGCGCCTGTAAGACAGGTATGCAATTTACACCATGCCGATGAGCCCCGGGGCTTGTGCCCTGCTACTGATGGCGGTATGCACAAGGGCAACTGAGAAAGATGAACAGACGGCAACTGGGGCACGGGGAGCAAAAAAATCAAGAGATGATGCAATGGGTATTCCGCAAATGTGGACCTTCATCCCAGCCAAAAGTTGCTTGAACCCTTGACCAAAGTTTTTACATCAGATAATACAGATATGCTACTTCCAGAATTTTTTGAAATCTTTGTGGGATTTTTCTGGCCCACGCACACCCACAGAATGCTGCAGCTGTGCCCGACACATGCACATGGCACACCTTGCGTGCACCGTGCACCAAAAGAATGCTGTCGGTTTACCAGAATCCGGTGCCATTCTTTCTCTCGATTAAAAAACAAGACGTCAGGCTCGTCAGACGTCAGCCACTCAATTTTGAGCGTAGATTAGTCACATGGAGATAAATTAGTGTCTTTTAGTCTTTGCAATTTCAAACTAAGAAATCTGAGATTCTGCAGAGTAAGACTGAGGATCCTGGGAACTGATGTTTGTCTGCATTCTCTTCGAGATTTCTGTGTTGGGTTTTGTGTGTGGTTGAAGCAATCTCGAGTCCTCGAAACTTTGTGATGATCATGCGTCTCAGAAAAATGGAAGCTTCGGAAGTGCAGAATTGAACTTCAGGGATAGGACAACAGAAACGTGGGCCGCGCAAACTTAAAGTGGGACGCTACAGTGACACAACGGTAAAACTTTGGGGTCCACTCAGCTCCACTGGGATTTTCTATCTTTAGGGTCCACTCAGCTACACTCGGGATTTTTCAGCAAGTCTGCAGGACTGTAGACCTGGTAGCTGAGAGGCTCAGTGGACCGGGTACCGGACTGTGGGTGGGACAGATCAGAGGGACCGTATGTCTGGTGATACAGAGGATCGCAGACAGAGCTGCAAACTGTCATAAAAAAAACAATTCCCACTGAAAGGCAGCCGTGAAAGGTCTAGTGGAGTTGGGTAGCAGCTACCCCCGACCCAGAACAATACAAGAACTGAGTAGTGGAAATTGGAATCCAGTGACTTGCTGCCTGATCGTCAAGCACGCTGCCCAACGACTATGGGAGCTGGCCACTGGAGTAAGAAGCCAGTAGAGGAGGAAGGAATTCCACCTGGCTGTGGTGGAGTCCTCCCTCGCTATGGCACTTGTCTTCTTCATCATGCTCCTCCTTGGTGTTTGCCCAGGTTCAGGCACCTGCAAGACAATACACTGTGTCAGCAGACTTCAGAGTTGCAGCGAAGGTGAGCAAGACATGAATTTGGGCTTCCTCCTCACCGTGCAGCCCAGTGGAATCCAGTTCTCTACTTTTTTTTTATTGGCACGGCTCATTTTGGCCTGAGGGTGCATGGTGAGCACTCCTATGCCTGGTGGGACTTGCAACCCGCTTGCCGGGGGCATTAGATGTTGTGTGGGATTGAACACCTTGGATGAGTTTATCCTGGAAGATGTGATGAAGGGAGGGGGATGCTAGGATGATTCTTCCAAATTGATTCTTTCAGTCTGAATATATATGTTCAGCACAGCCCCTCGTTTGTTGTCCTCTTCTCCCTCTCTGCCTACGATTTACCAGGCAACTCTGTTTGACGATATATGTTTGGCAATGAAGAATTTTTAAATTTGACACAGGTGGAGGAGAAGACGTTAAGTGCTAGGAGACTTGCTCGTGCTCATCGTTAACTCTCAATCTATTTTCTCACTTCTCCTAACTTCATCCTTTATGACTGTGTTGCGTCGCAATGCATTTATTTTTCTGGGACACATTCTCGAGTGTTTGTCACTGAAACTGAGGATCATACCTATTTGGTACCGGATCTTGACCTGTCCACCGGCAAGAACTTAGGCACCACCATATTTTTGTGACCGCGCAAGATCGAGTTCAATCTCAGAGTGAATCGAGTTGAAGGTGGGAGCACGGTGGAGAGGGAGAGTGGAAAAAAGGTCGACGACTCAACATCAAGTGTTAGAGGTCATGTTTGTGAAAGCATAATGCGAAGGCGCATGTTGGGTGTGGTGAGACAGTGGGTGAATGATTGGACGACTTGAAGTAACTCCAAGAATGTTAAGGTGATGAACGTCATCAGTGCGAGACCATCAAGGAGGGGGGCAACACAATGCAATGCCTTCAACTATGGCCGCAGCAGGGAGTTGAAGATCTACCATCGCAGCCCGGTGGAGTGGGAGAGTGGAAAAAGGGTGAACACTGAGTGTTAGACGTCATGTTTGTGACAGCATGATGTCAAGGCACACGATGGGTGTGGCAAGACAACGGGGGCATGATTGGCCCACTGGAACTAACTTCAAGAATGTTTAGGGGTGTGAAGAGCATTATCACTTGGGCACAATCAAGGGGGGTGATGAAATGCCCGTCTTCAACTATGGCCGGACCGGGAAGCTGAAGATCTACCATGCTATCGGGGTCAAGACGGCCAATTAGGATTACGGGTTCGTATCTGCTAATGTAGACTTAGGCTTCAGATGGACTCCTGAGATAACTCCCAAGGACAGCTATACCCTACCTCCTACATGTCACCAGGTAGGTACACTTCCATTTCCTTTTTGGGGAATTCTTACAAGTTGATTGTTAGCACTTTGTTGTGCAGCTGTTGGCTAAGTCGAGTGCAGGCTGCTCACACAAGGGACTTGACCCCCCTGCAGCTCATCGGTTACTCTAATAGTTGACGCCACTCCGTATTCTTTTCGTTTCACCCACCCATGATGTGCTGATCAATTGCTGCATACGGAACTGAGGATTAGCTCTCATGATAATTTTCAGGCAAACCCCTCTTTTCGATCTTAATTCTGACTATCACCATCTTGAGACACCACAACCTCCGATGTTGTCTGTGCTGAAGAGCTCCATTCAAAGTTCGATATCCAAGCAAGAAATAACAATGCTGTCTCTGTCTAATCGCAGACCAGGTGAGTGACAGTGGACGATTCGCCAAGAAAGGCATACAACACACTTGAGATGCAGGCGGAAGTTCACGTATCGAAGCTGATCTCCTTCACAGACAAGAATCATGCAAAGGGCCGTGAAAGCCAAAACTTCAAACGAATAGTTCGACATAGGGAAACCAAAGTGGCCCAACTAGCAACAGTCGGAAACCAAAAGCTGTGATCAGCAGATGTAAAACATCTCTCCTCTATCGGCAAATCCACAACTGAAAGCAGTACAGAACCACCGGCGGACAACCGGACTGAAATACAATAAACAACAAAGAAGCAATGCTCATTGCTCACCAATTGTACATGCGGTCATCCAGAAGAAGAACGTTGCTTACAACCAAACATTGAAACAGAGTCTGATTGTGATCAGCACAGCACACTACGACATGCCTGAACTACACAGGCATTCAATTACACCACATCTGATAATGCTAAACCCTTGCATGGAAGAGATGGGTAGGTGCACCGAATAACATAACAAATGGGTGAATAGGTACTCCAAGTGCATGTAAACATGCACACGCCGTACTATCCTGCATGAACAAGACATATGGGAAACGATAACTACGAACGGAATGCAACAGTGTCTTATAACGCACAACTGGAGTAAGTCACAAATGTCAGGATTGTCGAGGACGGCTCAGTGCTTGAGAACCTGGGTAAAGTAAAACAACTGGTGCCGCCGGAGGATATGGAGATCTTCACCGAGGAAGAGAAGAGGACACAAAAGATGGTGGTGCCAAAAGAGGCCGGCAATCAATTACGTGGGCCAGTAAAATCAGGAATCCATACCAGGGCCCGGCACTGACCATCCACTGAGGCCAAGGAGGCCCGTGCAGAGGGGACCTTAGCATCCAGCTGGGCAAGGCTTCCTCCAGCACGGTCCTTTTCATGACCCACTTCCTCCTGCCATCAGAAACATGGGTGGTATCACAAGGAGGGTGAACAGGTCATGTTTAAGGCATACCCCAGCAGAACGCTGGATGCGGCCTACATGAAACATGCCAACAATTGGGTGTTCCATGATGATGCAGCGTTCAAGTCCACCAACGACAAGATAAGATGGATTGGCAGGTGCCTCGAAATCTTGACAAGACATGCTGACCTGGCACAGGACCACCTATTCCTGATACAGCCTGTATCGAACACAGTGTTCTCAATTTTGTGCATGCACAAAGCAGACAAGCACACAATTGACAACTGGAGGCACCTGCGCTGCGAGCGCTCAGAGGTCTGGATCTACCCATGGACAGCGCAGCATGTCACTTAGGACCGGAAGAGAGACGGGCACAACTGATGAAGGATTTTTACCGGGTGAAGTTCCGCC